AGGCAACAGGATGGAGTGGTCCAGAGACGTTGGTGGCAGAGCTGGGACCTGGCCCAGGCAGCCAGCCCAGCACCCATCACCACGACTCCGCCTGCCTGTCGCCAGGTGCCTCGGCAGACAAGTTCCACTCAGCGGGCGAATGATTTTTTGAGAGAGAAAAGAAAGGGAAAAGAAAAAATTATCTTTCAAATACTAACAGCTACTGCACCAAGCAGAAAAGTAAAACCGGTGGAAAAGTCTTCCTCCCCTTTGAAAACACGCACGTGAGTCTTGAGTTATGCATTCAGACAAGCGAGCGTCTGTCCCGATACCTGTCGGAGTTCCGGTGGCAGTCAGAGTAACGGCAACACTGTCCGGGGGGCTGGGGGGCGAGTTTGGATGTATCTGTGTGTGGGTGTTCCTCGTGTCAGTCCGCCCGACCCACGCGCCATCAGACACTAGGCAGACAGCCTTTGAAAGGGGAAGGGTGATGGTAGACAGCCACCCACTCCTGCTCAGGTGCCTAAAATAGACAGGGGCCGCGTAGGATAGGACAGTCCAAACCCGGTCCCCACGTGCTAGGTTGTCACACACAGACGCCCCCTCACAGGGCACCTTAACCCTGGGGATCCAGTCCCTCCCTTCCAGGCAAGCACATCGAGAAAGGAGCCGCGTTAAACTGTCGAGGGGTGTGTGGGACCTTCTGGTGGGGCATAATGTCTCCTGGACACACACTTTATTTCTAAAGTATGGATCAGCTAGACTTAGGCCACTGATTTTTTTTTTATTAATAGTAAAAGCAGTCTAATTAATGTTCATCACAACCCTGTGAGGTAACTTACTATCATCTCCGGGTTATAAAATGGTTATTGCTTATTGAATTCAAATTGCATTAGACTAGATGCAGCACGTTTTAATTAATTCAGGGGCAATCATCCTTAATTGAAGTTGTTTGTTTCTATGAATAACTTCCTGACGGCTTCCATGCACCCACATGAACCCCGTCTTGCTAGAACAGGGGGGCCGCCGTGGCGGGGGCAAGCACACAGCCCTGGAGGCAGGACACAGTCAGGTGACTGCTCCAAGGCTCAGCACCCTGGTCTTCGGAAATCAGACAGCGATACCCACATTGTCAAATCAACACCAGGGTGGCGATGGCATCAGGAGCCAGGCAGCTGGGGTGTGTGTCCCAGCTCCACCACTTAGTGTCTGTGTAAGCCTGTGCACGTTATGTAACCTCTCTGACCCTTTGTCTCTTCATCTGTGAAACGGGGATAGTTTCCACTCACAGGGTGGTAGGGAGGATCAAATGTGTTAAAATTTGAGGGCCAGTTACACAGTGCCTGATACACAGTGAGTACCAGGTGAAGGGTTGATAAAGAGACTCAACAGATCGACAGGTTAGAAGAATCATTGCAGCTGGAAGGAAGCACAGAGCGAGGGCCCGTGACGTCACAGGCACTCACAGGAATTCTCCGGAGTCGGAGCAGAAACAGAGACAGGGCCGTGGTAGCTGGAGAAACAGAAACAAATTGCTTGGCTTCCGCTGGCCACTCCCTCCCTCACGTGCCCTCATCACCTGCTATTCGGTGATTACGAAAAACCAGCCACAGCAGGTGAAATAAAGTTGCAGTTCAGAAGAGCAAAGCTGTTTTTCAAAGAACCTTCCAGAGGAAGAAGAGGACCTTGGCTCTCTGATATATTTCATCGACTGTGAACATTATCAAAAAAGAGCTTTATGGGTTTTTTTTTTGCTTTTATGTAGGAAGCTCTGCGAAGTTTAAAATTTTTTAAATGTGTAAGAATCAAAGTCACATCAGGATAGCATTCAATCTGCAAAAATTACCAGGAACAACCAAGCGTTTTCGAATTACGCTCCAGTAAACTTCAGAACCTTGCCAACAATTCCCTTGCCCTGGTGTCCCTGTGCCCACCTCGTCTGGGTATTCTGCATGTGCGAACCCACAGAGAAGACCTCTCCTTTTGGCAGACACCCACATGCCTCATAAATGCTATTTGAACACTCCTCTAAATAGACAAGTACTTGCTGAAATAACAATGAACCGATTTAGCCGTGGCATAGAATTGGGATGTCATCCATTTGGAGCAGAGGAGAAGATACAATGTGCTCTAACAATTTGCACATGAGCAATATGATCATATCTGCCACTGGGGATGTAATGCATCTGAGTATGATCCATTTTTTACACTTACACATTTTTATTTCTTTTTTATATGCATAACAGATCTGTCATATAAAAATAGAAAAGATCGCCCTGGCCCGCTTGGCTCAGCGGTTGGAGTGTCGGCCTGCGGACCAGAGAGTCCTGGCTTTGGTTCCCGCTAGGGGCACATACAAAAAAAAAAAGAAAGAAAAAGAAAAGATAGATAAAGCAAAAACATGTTGAATGATAATTGGAATCACCATTTCGGTAGAGCGGGAACAGGATCCCTAGTGGCATGATGGGGAGGACGGGGCGCCTTTCGGAATATCCCACGTTGGTTTCTTAATCCGAACGATGAGGAATGTTAGATGGGCAAAAGGCCAAGCTCCGAACTGGGAGCCAGAGACCTGCCTCTAATCCGACCTTGCTATTGGGTGGCCTGAGTGTGCCCAGGGGCCTCTGTTTCCCCACCTATCAAGAAAGAGAAACGGACCAAAGGACTCCACAGACTGTGAGGACACAGCCATCCCTACTGCCGGCCTGTGGACACAATGCTCTTTCCCAAGGCCACCCTGCCCTGGAACTCACAAAACCCTCCTTTGCTTAACTGGCCTGAAGAATTCCTCCAGTGCTTTTTGGTGATGTTCTTTTATTTGTTTTTTGTTTTTATCCTCACCCGAGGACATTTTTCCATTTTTTGTTCAGGTAGAGTGGGAGGGAGAGAGAGGAACAGAGAGAGAGAGAGAAACATCGACGTGAAAGGAACACATCGAGTGGCTGCCACCCGCACAACTGACCAGGGCCGGGGACAAACTGTAACCGAGGTACGTGCCCTTAGCAGGAACCGAACCCGGGTCTCTCCGGACCGCAGGCCGACGCTCTAACCACTGAGCCAAACCGGCCAGGGCGGTGATGTTCTTTTAAAGCAAGTCCTCCCACACGCTGGGTGGTTATTCCCAGTCCATCCAGCCCCGTGCCCTTCAGTGACCTGCTGGGGTACAGTAGGTAAGGGCAGTGAAGGACTCGAAGTCCTGCCGGGGGTCTAGGACTGCGCTGGTCTGTGGCCACTGTTCCACCCAGGCTGCTGTTATCCCCCCGCAGGGCATATGCGTTCCCGTGCTAGGGATCCAGTCTTGCTGAACGGATGCACTAACATTTCTCTTCTTCCCTCCAATTTCTACGCAGATGCCTCGGTCAGAACACTCTTATTTTCAACAGGTGTCAGGGTTCCTCTACTGTAACAGGAAGAGTTGGGATCACTGACACACTGCACAGAATTCCCCCGGTACAGAAGGAGTTTATCTCATTCTTATGTGCTGAGACCAGCAGGACATAAGGAGTATTTTTCCAGGTCTCCCAAGGACTGGCAAAATCCAGGGAAACCAAGGCAAACCCCTCGCCCACGCCCCAGGGCCCCAGGAAAGAGGTGGAGGTACAGCTTCCCTTGTTCGGTGCCCAGACTTCAGAATACATCTCACCTGAAGGTTAACCGGCCTGCTCACTGTGATTTGCTAGGAGGAATAGTACAAGGGACACTGTTTTTATTTGGGGGAGGGTGGTTTCTCTGGCTTCTCACAGGCCACACAGACCATGTCGTGAAGAAGGACGAATTCCGCTGTACAGCTGGTTCCACTTTTCTCAGCTCTCTCCTCAGGGGTCCCCGTCTCTGAGCGCTGTCCCCACCGACCCACACACATGCAGCCCCTTTGCCTTCCTCTCCCTACTTCACATTTCTTCACGAATTGGGTATTTTCGTATGTGCCAGTCTCGTCTACCTCCTGCCACCAGAAAGTACGCTTCTAGAGGATGCCGACTTGGTTCTGTTCACTCTGTCACCCGTGTGAACACAACACATGGCAGGTACTCAGCCAATGACCTGTCCGATGGCTGAGTGTCAGAACCACCCCCCAGGTGAATAAAGAATATTTAAAGGTAGAAAAGAATGAAGAGTAATTGAAGGGAAACGAAACCATCTCATTTGGCCTAGCACAGTGGGGGGTCGTTTAATACACGGAGATGTCAATCCCCTCACACCTCAACCTCCGTGACTACAGATGGCATTTCTGATGGGAAGTTTTATAGCTCCTCGTCTCTCGTGTACTGTCCAAAGGCACAGTTTTTTTTGTTTTTTTTTTAAGTAATTTCTGGAATTAAAAAAAGTGTTTCTATTGATTTTTTTTAAGAGAGAGATAGAAACATCAATGTGAGAGAGAAACATTGATTGGCTGCCTCCTGCACGCCCCCTACTGGGGACTGAGCCCACAACCTGGACTTGGGCCCTGACTGACCAGGAACCGAACCAGGACCTCTCAGTCCATGGGATGACACGAAGTCCACTGAGCCACACCAGCCGGGCCCAAAGGCACAGTTTATTTATTTATTAAAAAAAAAATCCTCACCCGAGGATATTTTTCCATTTATTTTCAGATAGAGTGGGAGGGAGGAAGAGAGGGAAGGAGGGAGGAAGAGAGGGAAGGAGGGAGGGAGGGAGGGAGGGGGGGGAGAGAGAGAGAGCGAGCGAGAAACATCAGTGTGAGAGAGAGAGATCGATTGGTTGCCTCCCACACAACCCTGACCAGGGCCGGGGACTGAACTGCATCAGAATCAACCCCGCAACTCTTTGGTCCATGGGCTGATGCTCTAACCGCCGAGCCAAACTGGCCAGGGCCCCAAGGCACAGTTTCATGTCCAAGTCTGTGTATGAGTGTTTGCAATGAGGAAGGTGCTCGTTGCTGCACGGGTTTTAATCAAGGTTCCTGCTTCACTACTGAAAATGCCTTGGATAGTGTTCCTCGCGGCCCCTGCCTCAGCACCTCTGGGCTGTGAGGAACTCACGCCGCGGGCTGGGGTACTTACTGCCGGAGCAGGAGGCTTCCTTAGGGCTGGAGGACATCGGCTGGGCACACAGTTGACACAAGCAGTCTCTCCCGTTGAACGTGACGCGGTCTCCGGGCGGGAACGGGCGCCTGGAGACAGAAGGACACAGGTCTGCAGGTTATCCCAGCGATTGCATTCCTGTCCCCATGCTTTCTGCCTGCTGCCTGCGGCGCCAAGTCACTTCTTGGAGGAGCACCAGCCCAAATGTCTGAGATGCCATGTTAGCCACGCCAGCCAGCTGGACGCGGCCCAGACCACGGACGAGCCTCGGCGTGAGCAGGGAGACCGGCTGCCCCTGCAGGCAGCCAGGGGAAGGGGAGCGAGCCCGTCACCTCGCGGGGGCTGTCCCTTCCAGCAAGGCCCTCGGCCGGCGCACACAGCGAAAATTTCCATCTTCCCAATGGAAGGTCCTTCATGAAGAAACATTTTAAATGCCATAAATTCCTATTCAGGCTTAAGACCGCTCCCCAGGCGGTTACAGATCAAGCGTTAACTCTTTCAGTTCCCGAGACCTATGTGATAAATGACACTGAATTAGTCTTTTTTTTTTATCCTCACCTGAGGACATATTTTGATATTTTGTTCAGATAGAGTGGGAGGGAGGGGGAGAGAGAGAGAGAGAAACATCGACGTGAAAGGGACACATCGAGTGGTCGCCACCCACACGACCCAACCCGGGCCGGAGACAAACTGCAACCGAGGTACGTGCCCTTAGCGGGAACCGAACCCAGGTCTCTCCAGACCGCAGGCTCTAACCGCTGAGCCAAACCGGACAGGGCCTGAATTAGTCTTTGACCTGGGCATCTGAATGGGTGAACTGAAAGTGTCATTGTGCTGAGTGGGGCCCAGTCTTTTATGGAGAAATATGACAATACTATAAATATCTGTTTAAAAATTACTATCAGCTTCTTTTCAGAAAGAGAATTTCCTTTCATACGAGACATTCACCAATTACAGCACATTTTGCAAAAATACTGCCTTCTGCTTGGGTGTCATTAGTTTCTTTTCCAGCTCAGCAGGCAGATGGTGTTTTGAAGAAGTCCGTAATTAATAGCCGTAGGACAGTGTCCATGTCTACTTACTTGCACTTGGTCGATTTGCCCATCATCTTCATCAACATGACTGTTCAAATGTGTGCTTGTGTCATTTGGAAAACTCACAAGCAAAACATCCCCACACATCTGCGTCCGAGTGATTACTAAGGACCAAGTCAAGCTTCTGGACGTGGGATTTACTTTGACCACTGCCGCCCCTCCTTCATGGTGCCCCCCCTCGGCTGCTCACCGTGGTCATGAACTGTGATACCCACACAGGTGGCACACTGGGACTTCAGACACCACCACAGATGTGCTCGGTGCCCGTCACAGAGGGGGGTTCTGCATGCTTATGCCCCAGGTCTTAGCAATGCTGAGTCGGGGTGGTCTCTCCTCTCATGCGCGGTGTTGCTTTCCCTTGGTCAGACAAGGCCCAGAGAGGGTCCATGACTTGCCTCGATTGATCAGCTAGGGAGGCCAGGTCACAGGCCAGTGCAGGTGATGTCCGCCAACTCAGAACTTGCTCTTTCTTTCACAACCCAAGTCCCACTCTGCTGGATGGCAGGGGGACTACTGTACCCCACTCAATAAACCTGGACAAGCCCCCGGTCTGCTGGTGGGGAGGCATCGGAGTTCAGGGTCCACAGCACAAGCACAGGTTTGGTGCCTCTGACTGGGGGCAGGGCCAGCGTGAGGCCAGGGCGCACCCGGGGCTCGGCGTTCAAGGAGGCCCAGCCCTCAGGAGTGACCCTGCACTGCACGACCTTGAGGGTGAGCACCCCATTAAATTGCACCCCTAGGAGCCTCTCTTGCCTCACCCCAGTCCAGGCCCCGCCTCTGTTCTAAGCTTATATAAATTTGAATCCTAGATGGACCCACATGGGACAAGCTAGAGTCCAGTTCTCAACGTGGGACCCGTCTTCTGAACTTGGAGTTTTGTCATTTCATATATGACCCTTTTCAAGTGGTTTCCCCTTCCCTATGTCCTCTGTCCTCATGGGTTCACTTCCTCCTGTTATTTGCATGGATGTTTGTAAATGGAGAGAGAACTGGACATGGAGTTCAAAAACCTGAATTCAAATCTTAGCCTTGCAACACGAAGCTAGAAAAGTCCCTGAAACTCTGAGACTCAGAGTCAGTCATAAATAGGAATACTAATTCCCCACCGATTCCACAGAATTGCTAAGAGGGTGAAATAAAATTCTGCATGAATGCATTTGTCAAGGGTGGAGGCCTCCGGTTCAGGTGGAAACACTATCATTCAGCAGTAACAGCAGCACTGTAGCAGCAGTAGTGAGCATCTCTTCATGGGTCAAACGTCCAGGGTACAGGGCTACTGCTCATAAAACGTCTGTCCATCCTTACCAAGTCTAAAACAATGATGTCAGGGCCAGAGCCAAGAGCGATCTGAGGGTTTATCGGGACCAGGGCCTTGCAACCTGGCTGAGTCACATCATACGTGGGAACTCTCCAAAAGTGTGAAATAAGCATGAGAAGCTTTTATTTAATTTTTATGTTTGGAAGGCTAGAAGTGGATGTTTTGAAAGAGACCCTCCACTGGGAGATTCCAGGGATCATCCAGGTTTGGTGAATCACTCACATCTAGTCCAGAGCCTCTCATTGTACAGACGAGGCAACTACCTCGGGAAAGTTAATTCATGTACGTCTTAAATCAGCCTGGGAAGCAGGACTGGAGCTCAGGTCTCCGGGCTTTTAACCAGCCTGTGGGCGGCAGCCAGAAAAGGGAGAGGCCAAGAGGAAACTTCACTTTTGATTAAATACAAAACATTTTCAGCTCATGAATCCAAAATTATTTTAGTCATGACTTTTAAAAAATGCATTGAGAAACGGGCTAATCATTATAGAAATCATTAAAATAATTTCATTATGAATATTTCATCTAATCCCTATTGTGAGTCATCTATCAGTATTATCTCGTTAATTAATTATACAAATTAAATTTACCCTTCTAGAGTCGACATCTTTCTGGCCTACAAACATGACATGCTGAGGAATAAGACGAAGCACCTTCTCTGAACTGTAGGTTTTAGAAAGGCAGAGACATGAGGCCAACAACAGTCACCACCCCCCAGAGTCCCAGGACGGTCCAATTAGATGACCAGTAAAGTACCTGACCCTTGCTGGTGAATCTCCTCCTTATGGGTAACAAACCCAATTGAAGTTCTCTAAAGTGTAGCACTCACAGCAAAACAGTAAGAGCACGTTTTCCTACCCACACTTCATAGTTTCCTTCCCTCTGACTGATCATTTTAATCAAGGTGGTTTGTGAAGTGATGATTCACCTTGTAGATGACAGATGACCAGAGAGCAAGGCTTGGCAAACTTTTCTCCTAACACACCAGCGCAGAGATTTTTTAAAAAATATACTTTGTGGATCATATGGTTTTTGTCACAACTATTCAACTCTGTCACTGTAGCTTGACAGCAGCCGTAGATGGAAACAAATGGGCATGGCTGTGTTCTAATAAAACTTTATTTACAAAAACAGGTATTAGGTCTAAACACACACACGCACACACACACACCCCACTTCCAAACAAGCTTTATCTTTCTAATCAGTTACTTCATTTCCTCCCAGTGTTTCATGGCTCAAAATGTTTTGAGACCTACAGCAGCTTTTAGGCTTGGTTTCAAGCCACTCAAAATGAGTCACATTATTTAGCGGAGGATATCATAAATTACTTTTTTTGACTAGGACTAATAATATAGTAGAAAGATAAAGAAATCTAAGGACACATGAGAAAAAGACTGAGCACGGCCCAAGGTGTGTACGCCCAGTGCTGGCAGCAGGAGCCAGCCCTCCCCTGCCGGGAAGCCCTCACTTACTTGCAGATGGTACAGGCGAAGCAGTTGGGGTGGTAGGTCTTGCCCAGGGCGGTCACCACCTCTCCTTCCACGAACTCCCCGCAGCCATGGCAGCGTGTCCCGTACATCCTCTGGTAGTCCAGGGTGCAGAGATACTCCCCGTTCTTGATGAAGAAGCCACCTTGGGCCAGGTCGCAGCCGCACACTGTGGAAAGACAAGTCACATCCGGTCAGCATGTGTCCGGCTGCTGGGGCAGTGGCCCCTACATGCTGTTCACTTACTCTATGATCTCAGTGGTTTGGGCTGAGGGGAGGGGACGGGCACAAAGAGCTATTTATTGTTGGGCTCTGATCTCTCTCTTGCCTCCCTCCCTTCCAGTTTCCTATCCTTTGGGAGCTATGCAATATCTCATACAAGTAAAATCCGCTGGCCAGGTCTCAATGACTTTTGTGGTATGTCTAAGATTCAGAGATAATAAAATAGTCTCTGATGGAAAGATACCCTTGGTCCCTGCTGTCTCAAAAATGAACAAAGCTGTCCCTGGCAGTGTGATTTAGGACAGGTACCTGCTGCTTGCCCACACAACTGCTTTGTTTGAGCCAAGACTGTTACTGAGCTGAGTCATAAATCCCCACTCTGCAAAAAGCACTCGCCGGAATGTCCAATGTCTATTTTTTTCACACTCTGGAAATACTTTCTCATCGCTATGAAAAATTCAGACGTTTAATGTTCTCTCCGTGCAATAAATAGGATAAGCTAATTATTTACATATTATAGAGCCAGAGATAAACGTGAAGAGGCAAAAGAGGGAAAGAAAAGAGAACTTGCTCAAGACAAAGCACGTACATGCAAAGGCGGATGCTTTGTGGTGCTTGGGTTTTGCTGTCTCCGTCAACACTGCAGTTACGGACGATGGACACGGGGCAAAGAAGCGGGTCTGGGGTGCCGGGGGCTCGGGCCTGGCCTGCGTGTTCAGACAAGACCAGAGGAGGCCACCGCGGCGTATCCAGAAACAAAGCCTAGGGCCACCTCCCTGTGAGTGCAGCTGCCCACTGCCAAAGGACTGGAAGCATCAGCCAAAGCTGGAAAACCTCCAGTCCTAACCCCCCAGTTCCCAAGGCTGCGTGATGCTCACACAGGTAAGGGTCTTAGGCCAGGAACCCAGGGTTCTTCTTGATTATTCCTGCGAGCGTCTGGAATGGGCACTCAGGTAGGGTACGGAGGATGTGAGAACGTTTAGTCACTGAATCGCTTGCCTACCGGCCTGCTCGAACTCCTCCAGGCTTCCTCTGACTAGTTCCCCTGACTCGTTAATGCATCTAGATAAACGAGTGCTGCTTACAGTAAGATTCTGACCTGTAACTACTACTCCACCCTCAGTTACCAGTCTTTACTAATTGCCAAGTATGAAAGACAGTCAAGGTGACATAGAGCTACAAATAAGCTTTCCCCTGGGGACTCATCAGTCTTTGTTTACATCAACACTCCACAGCTAGGACCTCCCTCTTTGCAGTTTACAATCAAGGAACCCAAGATGATGGCCTAGGTCCATCACGCCTGAAAATGACCACCCTATAAATACCGCTGTGATCGCATTACCTGGAAAACAGCTCATTCGCCACACGCGGCCTCCTGTAACCTGCCACGTCCCGCTGTTCTCACACCTGCTCCGCCCTTACCAACTGGGTCCCGTGGCCCAGGGAATGCAAATACGGACGAGCCTCATCCTGACTGCAAATTCCTTCAACAGCCGTCAACACCTTCTCAGGGTGCGTGTGTCACAGAATATCTGAGGGATTTGTCTTCAATAGTCCATTTACAGATCTTATTTTTGCATAAGATGACAAAGCACTTTATAGGTGAGAGTCCTCATTTTTTACTTCTTTTGATTCCTCTCCAGGAGCCATCGACCATGGTACCTAAGGTAACACTGGCAACAATTTCTGAATTAAGTTGGATTGAGGCTCAGTCTTGACGGGTTCCCCCAGGTTTCAACCGTCAGTGACATCAACAGTTATGATGACTCATCTGCTCTGCCAAACTTCGGTATTTCTCAAAGTCAGGAGAAGTGGAAAAAATTATGCATTTGGACTACTAGTAATTCCCTTTATTCTCTCCTCCAATCACCCAGGGTACATTTAAAAATGCACAGATCCTTTATAAAAAGACCTGGTGGCAACAGGGTAGTCTTTATGCTAATATCGCTTGTTGAGAGGCTTCAAGACAACTAAATGTTTTAGAGATTTGCCTGTGTTTGCCACTTCCTTAGGGCACCTCTGTGCAGTCTTTATAGTTCACGTGGTTTTGTGAAGTTGACATACACTCTCCTTTATTAATAAAGTCCTATTTACAGGAATCTTATATAGCCTTGAAAAAGTCACTCCATAACGACTGCGGAGAGATGTCAGATTCCTGTTGGACTCTGCCCCTTTGCAAACGGATTTGGCCTAGTCTTTACGTTCAAAGCAGTGGCCCAAATTGGCCTACCAAATTGTACCATTGTTTCTGATATTTTATCCTCAAGGAGACCAGCACTGGGAGAAAGACTCACAAAGCCAGGGGTCATTAAAGGCACACATAACGAGGCGAGTCTATGCTGCTAACACCTAAAAGATGATTCGCTTCATTACATTTCCTAAGAATGGACTAGCTGTGACCTAATTTCACTCTTTCCTCCTGTGCCTCTCCAGGCTTTTCTGTTCTTCTTCCTCCTCCTCCTCCTCTGACAATCTCTCAGTCTCCTTGGCTGGACCCTTCAATGCAGGTAATTTCTATGAACTCCACTTCCTCCCTCTAGAATATAAAGCCTCCCTGGGAAGAGATCTCATCCACACTCTTGGTTTCAATTAGGACTTTGTGCAAAGGATCAGTCTCTATGTGGCATTTTCCCCAAGCTTTAGACCTTACGTTTCAGCTGCCTAATGGTTACAGACAGACAGCATGCCTAGCTTAAACCTAGCATTTCCTTCCTTCCTCCCTCGCTCCCTCCTTCCCTCCCTTCCTCTCTCTCTTTCTAAAAATATGTTTTTAACTGATTTTTTTTTAAGGGAGAGAGAGATAGAAACATCAACATCGATGTGTGAGAAACATCAATCAACTGCCCCTGCACACCCCCTACTGGGGATCGAGCCTGCAACCCAGGCATGTGCCCTGATCAGGAATCGAACCAGGACCTCCCAGTCCACGGCTAACGCTCAATCCACTGAGCCACATCAGCCAGACAAAACCTGGCATTTTCAAAGCCAACCCCATCCTCCCAGCTTCTCTGCCATTTCCCCTCTGACAGTCTGCTCTTCTTCTATTCCTTCTTTCAATGAAAGGGCAGCATGACTCATTCTCTGACCCTCACACCAAAATTTTCAACTGACTGATAAATCAAATCCATTTTCACTACAAAATGTTTCTTTGATCCATTCTCTCCTCTGCCTTCTTTCTACACAGATCTTGGTCGTTAGCATCACTCTCCCATATTAAAACAATTTTATTGTAACAGTGTTTATACTCGCAAAAAAGGAAAGAATTAAAAAAATAACCACCTGGCCCTGGCCAGTTTGGCTCAGCAGTTAGAGCGTTGGCCTGCGGTCTAGAGAGACCCGGGTTCGGTACCTCTGTTGCAGTTTGTCCCCGGCCCTGGTTGGGTCATGTAGGTGGCAACCACTCGATGTGTCCCTTTCACATTGATGTTTCTCTCTCTCTCTCCCTCCCACTCTATCTGAACAAAATATATAAAAAAAAATGTCCTTGGATGAGGATAAAAAAAATAATAATAATAACTACCTGAATTTCCAGCAGAAGAGCAATAGGTGAATAAATTATGGTGCATCCAGTCCATGGAGCTGGTGCTAAGAGTGGATTAGCCCTGGCCGGATTGGCTCAGCGATTAGAGCATCTGCCTGCGGTCCAGAGAGACCCAGGTTCGGTTCCTGCTAAGCCTTGGCTAAGGGCACGTACCTCGGTTGAAGTTTGTCCCTGGCCCAGGTTGGGGTCCTGTTGGTGGCGGCCAGTTGATGTGTCTCTCTCATGTTGCTATTTCTCTTTCTCTTCCCCTCCCCACCCCCTCCTGCTCTGTCTGAAGATAAATGCAAAGGAGTGTCCTCCAGTGAGGATAAAAAGAAAAAAGAGTGGATTAGGCCAATATCTACAACGCAGAGGCCTGCCCATATCAGTAAGCGAAAAGAACAAATGTCATAAAGATTTTCAATAATCCCACTTTTTAAAAAGTCTACTTATGTTTTTATGAACAAGGAAAAGTAAGTTAACACAAACTTAGGGTTATTAAATTGGTTATTTCAGGAGGATGAAGAATTATTTTTTAATTCATATACCTCTGTGTCAACTCACTTTAAAAACAATGTTTACGCCCTGGCTGGTTTGGCTCAGCGGTTGGAGCATCGGCCTGCGGTACAGAGAGACCCGGGTTCGGTTCCCACTAAGGGCATGTACCTCGGTTGCAGTTTGTCCCCGGCCCTGGTTGGTCGTGCGGGTGGCAGCCACTCAATGTGTCCCTTCACATTGATGTTTCTCTCTCTCTCTCTTCCTCTCTCTCCCTCTCACTCTATCTGAACAAAAAATGGAAAAATGTCCTCGGGTGAGGATAAAAAACAAACAAACAAACAAAAACAACAATGTTTACCTGTGGTAAAATACACATAACATAAAATTAACCACCTTCACCATTTAAAAAATTTTTTTTCTTTTTATTGATTTTATCGAGATTAAGGAAGAGAGAGAGGGAGAGAGAAACATCGATGAGAGAGAACATCAATTGGCTGCCTCCTGCATGACCCCCACTAGGGATTTTGGCCTACAACCTGGGCATGTGCCCTGACCGGGAATCGAATTGGTGACCTGTTGGTGCATGGGTCAACGCTCAACCACTGAGCCACACCGGCCAGGCCCATCTTCACCATTTTTAAGTGTCCAGTTTAGTGGCATTACATACACCCATAATGTTGTGCAACTATCATCATCATCCAGCCACAGAACATTTTTCATTATGTAAAACAGAAACTGTTCTTATTAAACAATAAAACCCCATTGTCTCCTTTCCCCCAGGCCCTGGCAAACACCATTGTACTTCCTGTCTCTGTGAATTTGACTACTTTAGGTACTTTATATAAGAATAAGCTCACTTGAATAATAACATGTTAATAAAAATTATCCAAGCTTGGCCAGTGTGGCTCAGTGGATTGAGCATCACCCAT